AAAGGAGATCTATGGGTCGAGTTACCTTCACGAATAGAATCCATAATACTAGTCACACAAAATCACACTCCTATATTTTTTTTAAAAAAAAGAGTGGCCTGCTCTGATACCAATTGAAAATCCTAAATGATTCGTGATTAGATCAAGATTAAAATATTCCAAATCTCAAAAATCCAAAACACACAATCTAAATCAACAAGCACTTACGAAAGTGATTTAGATTGTTTGTTTTTCAGAATAAATAATAAATCGACACAAACGATTTTTACGTGGAAAAAAACCACAATTGGACACCTCCAACTGTGATTAAAAAACCACGGGCGAAACGCCACTAATCAATCCACTACTGAAGTAAGAAAGATTACAAAGATAACATACAAATTACCCAACTCAGTTAATTTGTCTTCGAATCTTCTATAACTCTTTCTCCACGACTTCGTCTCAGAACTGATCAATCCTGAAGTTGATTCCACAACCTTACTTGTCGAATTAACGACTACGTATAGAATCAAACGCCTTTTGAAACTATATGCTTGAATCTTCGGAATCCACCGAAGAGAACTCTCTCTTGAATTTAAAGTAACCAACTCCTTGATGTATGTATTTTAGATCATGGGTGAAGAACTCTTCTCAAAACATCAAGGAAAAACTCACAAAAATCTCTCCACAAGAAAACCTCAGAAAATCTCAAAGTAGATCTAAAAAAGTAATCCTAAAGTTTGGAGAAACCAACTACTTATAGAATTTCGGATTCTGAAGCTCGCTCGAGCGAGAAGCTTATCTCGCGTGACTTCCATAAGTACCTTCGCTTGAGCCATAAAGTCTTCGCTCGAGCGAGGAATAAACTCTTTCAGGTTTGTACGCAGACGCAGTTCTTCGCTCAAGCCTCCAATGCTTCGCTCGAGCGCACAATGACCTCTTTCAGGTTTGCAGCCAGACGCAGTCCTTCGCTCGAGCGAGGACTTCTTCGCTCGAGCGAGCAACACAAAACAGCACAGAAATTACAACTTGATTACAAAAGTTTGTTCGTGGAATTGACAAGACTTAGGGACCTAACAGGGATCTATAGTATTTTTCATAATAGTAATCATCTAATAAATGAGGAAGTTTTTTTCATAAATCCCGTTTCTAAGACTTTTATACCATAAAATCCAAATGATTTTGAATTTTGAGTGACGGGTCTATCGGAGTGAACATTGTCTACCTATGTGTGATTCCATCATAACTTTGTTTGGTTCCTTTTAACGTGTGGAATTTGGGTCAAAAGGAAGCTAGGACCATAGATTAAATTCCAAACATATGTAGAAACTAAGGTCAATAATTCCAATTTTAGATCGCAATAACCTGCATATGGTGCTTGGCTTGCGTTTAAAATTTTTACATTATTAGGTACACCTTAGTGGGACCAAAGTTGACTGTATGATTTTGAATTTTGAGTGATGGGTCTATCGGAGTGAACATTGTCTAAACTAAGGGTGGATTTGGGGTGGATATTTATGTTGAATAATTTGATATATATTGGCTTCGTTTGAGAAGTTAGCTATTTTAGTTTTTGACTATTTTAGTAAGTTAAAATTTTTATGTTTGGGAAGATAGTTGGATTTTTTTATAATTAGATGTGATATTTATGAGAGAAAAAGTAAAATGATTATAGATTTGATGTGATATTTTGTTTTATTAATTATTTTAACATAGTTATATTTTTATAAATTTTAGTTAAAAAAAAAGGGCAAAAACTCACTTGCCAAATAGGGCCATTATTAGAATAAATTTCTTTCAAATTTAAATTTTGAACTTGATCGTTATGTTAGTTCTATCATAAATCTTATATCTACTGATACTTCTTATATCTTTGAACCTTCAATTTATATCTATAACAAATAAAAATGTGAAACTTATTTATATTTATCATGTCTTTTCCCTATTTGTTTTCTAATTTTTTTTTAAATTGTTATATTCAATCATATTCGTGCGTCTCTTATTCACAAGAGTAGAAAAAAGAGGATGGACAAATTACTATCAATTTAAACAATTTGTAGCCAATCAGCTTCTTTGCATGATTCCAAAATAACAACAAAAAAGTCACCCAATGCCAATCGCCTAGCCCAGTCGACACAGGAGACTTGAGAAATGATGAAAACATTACTTTCTACTAGAAAATTCTACGACGAAAAGTAGACTTTAATCAAAAATCTTATAATTAAGGGCTGGTTTGGCATTCTTTAAAAAAATTAAAAAGTCAAAAATTTATTAAAAAAGTTAAAAAATTATCACTATTTACAAAAAAAAATATAAAAAAATTAATTTTATACAAAAAAGTACAACTCAATTCTCACGTGAGTTGTACTTTAGCTGACTTTGGTTGGACAAAGGGAATAGGCGGGTGCACAAACAAGCACTGCTAGAAATCAGGATTTTAGCAGGTACTAAAAATGTCGCTAATTCTTTTTGTGACGTTTAATACTAAACGTCGACAACGCGGCCGTCGCTATAACTTTATGACGTTTGAAAAATGTCGCTGCATCAGAATAGGCGGCGTTTTAAAAACGCCGCAAAATGTCCTACCCTAACGGTACTGTGACGTCACTATGATTTAGCAACGTTTTTAAAACGCCGTCATATGTTTTTAATTTTAAAAATTCCAACCTTTACAGTGGCATTTTAAAAACGCCGTCTTATCTTCTTTTTTCTTTTTTTTTGGAAATTGTGCTAATTTTTGTGATTGAACTAAAAGAACACCTGTAATAAAACTAAATAGTACTAATATGAAATAATAACTCCCATTCAAATAATAAATACAGCATCAATTCACTTTCTCATTCAATTTAATATCCAATTACCATTATCCACAAAACACATATCTAAAAATTGAATTAGAATTCTCAATAAAAAAATTACTACCTTACATACAAAGGGTTTTAACACAAAATAAGAAGAAAGGGAACCAAAACACCCAACCCCCATCCATCCTTCACCGTCATTCTGAATCTCTCTCCATGTTGCTTCCCATTGCCTTCAATCCTCTCGGTCTGCCAATCGTAAAACATAATAATAATAAAAACAAAGCCAATAAAAGATGTGCAGTGAATAGATATGAGGATTGGCAATAGATAAATTTTGAGTTCAGTCAACATAATAAAGTAACAAAGTTTTGTAAAATGTGTATATAAAAGGAAAAACCTGGATATTGTTGATTATGATGCTCTTTTGATGAGCAAGAACCAGATGCATTTGATGACCCAAGACTTACTTTTGAAATGGCTTTCTGAGAAGCAAAAGCAACATATACAATATGAGTATAAAGCTTAAAGTACAGGATAAAACATGTAAACAATTGCTAACTATCTATTTAGATAAAATAAATAAAAAAAAGTAATCAATTTGTGCTACTAATTTTATATCTCAAATGAACAGAGTATATACACTTATCAGCATGACATCAAAATATTGAAAAGCACAATATAATGGTTTAGGAATTTTGAATTCATCTCTCTCTCTCTCTCTCTCTCTCTCTCTCTCATCCAGTTTCATCACTTGAGGTTTCTATTTAGAACACCCTCCACAAATTCGATTCTCTCAAGGATTCCTTGAAGATTTTCTACACAATACTTGGCCAATTAAAAATCTGAATGGCATATAACAAAATTTGTGTGTGTGTGTGTGTGTGTGTGTGTGATATATATATATATATATATATATAAATTTTATACAAATTTTCAAAAGGAGAAAGAACTTATCCGCAATTGTACAATACATGGGGTGCAATTTATGCATATTCTTGGATCCACCATGCAATCAATAAAACTCATTGGCAACTCCATAGTCAGATTTTTGAAAAGAAAAAAATAAAAATAAAAATAAAAATGGAAAGAAGAAGCTAAAAAATAAAAATAAAAAAATTCTTTAAGGTGCATATATAAGCTATTGGGCCATAAAGTTTCATCCATGTTAGAAGAGATAAGAAAAATAAGGGTACCTCCAATGTGATCAATAAGAGAAACAGGGGTACCTCTAAGGTTCATCCAAGATCTAGGCATTGCAATAACCAAATCACAATTGTGCGGTATCAGTGAATCCTCACAAACAAATCAAGATCCATAGAAGCATCACCTTTCATGTACATACAAAAAATCTCCAACCAAGATTATAATGAAGTTCTTATACAGATTATAATGAAAGCAAAAGATATGTTTGCATTGTATATTGCACTAAAATCATAAAGAATGGAGAAGAGAATGAATCAGAGATATTAGAAATCAACCTGCACATTCAATGTTTTCTACACAATGAATAAGAAAACGACCTAGAATTGCAACCCAAAGCATATTAATTAGAAAAAATAAGTACCTTGTCCTTACTAGAACCAGTTAAAGTACCATATCGATTTGCAAAACAACAAGAAAAAAAAGACAGTTTACAGTAATGATATTGAATAAGAAAGCAGATTCACAAATATATATATATATATATAATCAAACAAATCAAAATCACTAATAATAAAACAAAATAGAAATGGCTTGCTTTAAACCTTGTTAATCAGTAGATCTAACAAAATGTGAGAGAGATCAGATCAGATCGAGTTCAGACTTCGATCAGATTAGATCGACTTTCTTGTTTCATTTCGGATCTGCAATTTGCGATTCGATGAAGAACAGCTAGAGCGAGAGAGATTAGATCAGATCGAGTTTGGATTTCGATCAGATTAGATTGGCCTTCTTGAAACACACGTTGATTATTGAGAAATATCACCGCATTTTTTAAAATGTCTTGATACAAATGCCATCATAGGCAACTTTTCTTGTAGTGGCTATAGGCCTAAAAAACACCGCTGTAGGCCTAAAAAATAAATACAAGAACACATGTAAACTGCAATGAGCATTGAATCAGACAATATCAAGAAAGAAATAGTAAATTCTTGGTTGTACTTTTGAATTTCTGACTTAAAATTGCATACCCATATAACATAATAAATCATGAAAATCATGCCAAGAAAAGACAGTAAATTTATAAGAAAGAACATTCGTGTAACATGGATGCAAAACGAGAGTTCGGGGGACAAAGTGCGCGGCCGGGTGCCCCGAAAACTGGCTGTTGAGCACCAAAAGTGGCGTATGGCCACAACAGTGGTCTCCCGAGCCACAGTGTCCCTCTAGACAGAGGAAACAAGGTGTGTTCCAAAAATTGTGACTTCTCTCAACAATAGAAAGACAAATTTGAGTCCATTCTGTCCACTACACCAAATTATATAATCTATGTTTCAAAATTGCATATTAAAAATTTATGAGTAAAATTCATACACTGATCTCAAATAAATGTGATCCCATTTATCCTTGTATTATGGATGTACATATTTTACTCTCAGAATCATGGTTTAGGAAATTTCTAAACTGCACTTACAGACAGAAGAATTGCGGTTACAGGGAAAATTCCTTTGAAGACACCTCAATCCAGAAGGCAGAACACTGAAAGCAGAGGAAGAATGCATATTATTGTAATAGTTTCCTTTAGTTGTCGAACAATCATAAAAATCTTTAGTGTTTCTTTAGTTATCAGGCAATCATATCAAATCTAATACACAAGACCATTTTAGAGAATGTAGAAGAGAAATAATGTATACTGAAACACAAAAACATAATTATATACAGTAAATTCCATTCAACTAGATATCTAGACTATAGATAAGATCAATGAAATATTCCATATCTTCAAAACTAGAAAGGTGCCATCATCATTATTTCACATATATTTATGAGCACATATCATATCAGCATCATAAGCAGCACTGTCACGTATGTTTGACTGCTCAAGCAGGTGCTAGTAACCACCTCATGTTGTTCAATGCTAAAACAATTTAACGGGAAAGAAACTTTCATTTAGTGTTGTTTCACTGAATGTTCAGAATCGTATGTAATAAAAACAAAAGCATAAAGCAGGGAGAGAATCACCTGTTGTTTGAACTTTCCACTGTGAAGTTATTGGCCACTAAATTACTGCATATTACACCCCAGAAAATCTCAATGTCAGTTTCAGTTCCAACACTTGGAAATCTTACCTCAGTGTGCTCAATAATGTGACCATTTTCATCTCGCAGCCTGAAATAGATTTATGAATCCATTCAATCAAATTTACATTTACAATTTACAAAAGAAAAAAAACTATATCTATGGGTTCAAAATGCTAAACCTCAAATGCTGAAAAAAAAAAAAAGGAACCCCAATGCTGGTCCTGATTATCAAAGGTGTTGGGAGGGATAAACTAGATACAGACATAACTTTTAACATAACATAATAACACTAAAAGTCCATGCTTTTAGACCAAAACAGAAATGCTACTTTCACCCCCCCCTCCAAAAAAAAAAAAGAAAAAGATAAAACATTTCAAAGTAACCTCTTAGATAATTGATCTTATGTACTACTATAATTAGGCAACACCTCATCTGGGTAACAAAAAGGGAATGGAAAAAAAAAATGTTACCTACCTCTCACAGTTCTTCACAAAATATAGCACATAACAGAACTTACAGTGAAAACAATTATACCAAGAGATTTGGATTGAGGAACATTACACCAAGGAACTTAAGAGGCTATGATAGTGAGGAGAGTGACATGCTTTTTTAGAATAAAGGAAAAGAAAAGTACGGATATAGAAAGTGACAAGATAAGCTTGTCAAAAGACCATTTAATCAGTTCTTGTTTTTCTTAGTCAGTTCCAGAATATGAGATTTTATACATAACAGTAAAAATCTATTTTCTGTTCTCTACCTTTT